TCAATGTGACCTTGACCTTTGACCCCTTGACCCCAAAATCAATAGGGGTCATCTACTGGTCATGACCAATCACCATACCAAGTTTGAAGTTCCTAGGCCTAAGGGTTCTTTAGTTATCACTCGGAAACCATTTGGTCTACGAACCGACGGACCGACAGACCGACGGACCGACAAGTGCAAAGCAATATACCCCCTTTTCTTCGAAATGGGGGCATAATAAATGTCATCTACTAGTTATGACCAATAAGTATGTAAAATATGAAGACTTGGTGATCAATAGTAACCAAGAAAATGAGCAGAAATCATTCTGACATTTAAGACCCCTGTGACCTTGACCTTTAACCTGGTGACCCCAAAATCATTAGGGGTCATCTACTATTTATGACCAATCAATATGTGAAATATAAAGACTTTGTGATGAATTGTTTTCAAGATAATCAGCAGAAGCAATTCTGACATTTAAGGCCCCTGTGACATTTACCTTTGACCTAGTGACCCCAAAATCAATAGGAATAGTGGCGGCGTGGCCGAGTGGTTAACGCGTCGGACTAGTAATCTAAGGATTGCTGACCGCGTGGGTTCAAACCCTGTCAGAGGCAAGCCGTTGTTTCCTTGAGCAAGAAACTTTACATTCATTGCTTAGTACTGGTTGGTTCCAGGAACGGATTCGAGAGTGTTTCAATAAGCTTATAGCTTCCAACACAATCGAACTAAAATAAATTTGTATAAACCAATCAATAAGAATCATCTACTAGTTATGACCAATCAATATGTGAAATATGAAGACTTTGCGATAAATAGCTTTGAAGATAATCGATGGGAAACCATGTGGTTTACCGACGGACAGACCGACCTACTGACGTACCGTCCAACATAAGCAAAACAATATACCCCCTCTTCTTTGAAAGGGGGCATATAGATAAAGTTGTAATAAACAAGAATGCATTTGTGAAAAAATCCTATGCCACCACATTAATATAGCAGAAGTTAATTTTTTTTTGTTACTATACAATTGAACTTTGTTACTATACAATTGAACTTTGCCATAATGCAGAAGCGTCTAGTGAATTTAGGGGTCAAGGTCATATTTCAGCATGTCAAATCATTAGACACATGTGCAGATGTGTCTAATGTTAAGATACAAAGGCCATAGCGCAATACTTGATTCAAAAATAAAAGATTTTTTTACTGACAAAATATAGGTATTAAGTGTAAAACATAGCTGTATTAAACTTTGAAATGCAGGTACATTTTCTTAAATACCATCTTTTCAATTAAGCATTTACAATTTCTAAAGCATAATCATGTCCTTATAATATGCTCAAATTGTTTCACAAAGCTTACATCTATCTTGCTAAAGTTCATGACCTGAATCATTTCATAAATATCTCTGAAAATTATGACCTTTAGACTTACTCCCAGCTATGGACCATTGTGGTATTTCGTAGCGAAACATTTAGCCACACCTTTTCCATTCATTGCTAGGTCAACTGCTCACAAACAGTATCACAAACAAAACCATGTGTTCTTTTGTGCAAACCAGGTCATACAGTGACTATGTATTATCCCAGTGTGGCAATTGGATAACAAGTTAGCCAATTTACATAAAACTGTAAACACTGGAAAGGGCCATTGAATATTTTACATAAAAAATACAAGTATTACAAATTCCAATTTAAGTTGTTTCCTTTCACACAAAATGATTTTGACCCCAGGGCTATAATTTGAACAATCTTGGTAGAGGTCCACTACACAATGTTCTTGACAAATATCTAACCTCTTGCCTATTCCGAGAAGAATTTTTTTAAAGCTTTTATTATATTTTGTTTGTTTGATTTGGTTTTACGTCACACTGACACAGTATAGGTCATTTGGCGACGTTCCAGCTTAATTGGTTGAGGAAGACCTCAGGTGCCCTCTCTTGCATTATTTCAGGCATGAACGGGCACCTTAAGCTAGCTGGATAGCTACCTCACATGAAAGAATCCAAAGTCCCTGTCGGGATTCGAACCCAAAGCTGTTAGGGGCAAGTGGTTTGAAGTAAGTATTTATTATATACACATAAGGAAAACCTATGACCCGCGGGACGGGGCCAATTTTAACACTATGGGCAAAATTTGAACAACTTTGATAGAAGATATAGATGATATCATATACCAAATATCAAAGCTCTAAGCCTTGTTCCTTCAGACAAGAAGATTTTTCAAGTTTTTACTATATGTACATAATGAAAATTTGAACAACTTTGGTAGAGAAGCTATAGATGATATCATATATCAAAGCTGTAAGCCTTGTAACTTCACACAAGGAGATTTTTTTAAGTTAGTGAAAATCAATCACTCCCTAGGACAGGGCCAATTTTGGCCCAAGGGCTACAATTTGAACAGCCTTGGTAGAGGTCCACTGCACTATGTTTCATGTTAAATATCTAACCTCAAGCCTTTGTTACTTCAGAGAAGAAGATTTTTTAAGAATTTACTATATACATATATAGAAAACCTATGACCACCATACCCTCCACCCCCCGGGTTGGGGCCAATTTCGACTGTAGAGACAAAATTTGAACAACTTAGGTAGAGAACCTATAGATGATATCATATATCAAAGCTCTAAGCCTTGTAACAAAAGGAGATTTCTTAAGTTTTTACTTGTGCATAGTGAAAATCAATGACTCCCTAGGGCAGGGCCAATCTTGACCCAAAGGCTATAATTTGAATAATCTTGGTAGAGGTCTACTACACAATGTTTCATGCCAAATATCTGACCTCTAGCCTTGGTCGATTCAGAGAAGAAGATTTTTTAAGATTTTACTATATACATATATATGGAAAATCTATGACCTCCCGGGGCGGGGCCAATTTTGACACTAGAGGTAAAATTTGAACAATTTTGGTAGAGGACCTATATATGATATCATATACCAAATATCAAAGCTCTAACCCTAGTACCTTCAGATAAGAAGATGTTTAAGTTTTTACTTTATGTACATAGTGAAAATCAATGACCCCCGGGGTGGGGCCAATTTTGACCCCAGGGCTATAATTTGAACAATCTTGGTAGAAGTCTACTAGACAGTGTCTTATGCAAAATATCCAAGTTCTAAAGCCATGTGGGCCTTTACAAGAAGATTTTTTATTTTTAAATTTACTCTTATCATTCCTTTTGGTTGCCATGGCAACCAGATTTCTGTGTGGGAACAACTTTAGAAGCCCTTTGACCCAAGAATCAATCCTGCAAAGTTTGGTTGAAATTGGACAAGTGGTTTTTCACAAGAAAATTATTTAAATTCACTATATAATCTATATAACGCATGCATGCACGCACGCACGCACACACGCACACACACACACACAGGTGAATTGCTATATGCCATTGCAGATACTGCGGTTGCATAAAAAGATTTTACGGCACAAAAACTTTAATAAGAAATCTGGACAAGGTTGCTGGCACAGCTCTACATGTACTCTGTGCAGACTGCCCTCTACCCATATTTTAAGTTTCATAAATATATTTTCAGTACTTATTGAGTAATTACAAAAAAATAATACTTATAAATCTGCCTGTTTTAAGTATATTTGTTGCCATAGTAAACAAAGTTTTCATCATAGGAAGAAAATGAAAATATAATCTTCATAAAGTCATCTATTGATATTTCAAGTTTCATCAAAATATTATCAGTACTTTAGGTGTAATCACGGGATCAAATTTTTGTGGACGGATAGACCAATAGACGATCAGACAGACATACTGACATTTGGATATTTAGGTGGCTTAACTCTATTGTTCTCCCTATTATTCCTTTAGCCAAATTAGAGGAAAGACATGCCATGTAAAAGCTTAAGGAAATTATTTTATAGAAGAAAAAGTACAATCACCTATTGTTTTGTAGCCATCTAAGTACCTAAATATATGCAGAGACAGAAGGCAAACCTAAAGTCTCTAAAGGTACTAATTATAACCACCTAAGTAGCCAGGGTCATTCAACAATGTTCCTTGCAAAATATTCAAGCTCTAGAATTTGTGGTTTCATAGGAGATTCAAAGTTTTTAATAAATACATAGAAGGATGAACCATGACCCTGGGATGTGGTTAAATTTGACATTCGAGTTATAATTTAAACAAAATTGGTAAAGGTCCACCAGACAATTTTCATGCCAAATATCTTAGCTAAAGCCTTTGTGTTTTTGAAAATCATATAATTATGACTGTGACCTTGATGTATGAAAGTTCAAACATGCACTCTGAACATTGTCTGATTAACCCTTTCCTTCATGAGCATATTGTGAAAAATGGCCATTTTCATAGAAAAGCCTCCTATTACAAGTTCAAACTGCTATGAAACTATGAAAAATACTTCAATACTGATGAAACTTGGCATAAATGTTGACTGGATCATAGCCTCTGTAACAGCATGCTTAATCTTAAATTTCCTGTAAAATTGGCAACAGGGGGGACGTCCAAAAATTGCAAAAACTCACTATTTTGCATTGTTTTTTTTCCATCAAAACTGTTTTTAAAGTGCTGCAACTTCTCAATGGATTGAGATAGAGTGAAAGGCTTTTTAATGTTGGTTACACGTTACCTTACAATCGACCCGAGGCCATTTTTAGCCTGTCACATGTCCAAAATTTTCTTGGCTATGAGGGGGACCACTGCCCCCTTCAAACCCCCCAAACAGAAGCGGGCACATCCCCCTTCTGGCAACCCCTTTAAAGTATCATCAGCAGTGCCAAAAAAGTGATAACTTTTTTTAACAACATTTCTCAAACGAAACACAGTGTTTAGGGCCTAAATAGGACATTTTTTCTCTGTTTGAGGCCTCAAAAAGGGGGGAGGGGGTTTGAAAAGCCGTCAAAACACGTCTTATATGAGGTAAAGGGTTAAAGTTTTACTCATGCATTAAAACTTTCTTTTAATCTTTATTGAAGTTTGTAACCAATGTGGTCATAATATAACGATAAAAGAGTTTACTGACTTAGCTATCAACAAATAAAAATTACTTCTTGCATTTATATGAGCTACCAAGTCCTCTATGGCCAACATCTACAGGTTTACGAGTAGACTTCCAGTAACGCTGGAATGTTTGCTTCATATTGAAACAGGAACTTATCATAGGCTTCACTATCAGATACTTGACTGAAAAACAAGAACATCTTTAAGATTAACAAATATGTTCTCCACCCTCCCTAATTCTTGTCTGTAACCAATTTGTCAAAACAATTTACCTATTCATTCAGTCAAAATAAACCTGTAAACAACATTATATGACATCACAAAGTAATAATCTTTCACAGAAACAAGATTGCATTTGTGAAAAAATGCTATGCCACAGCATTAATACACTAAGTAGTAGGAACAGAAGTAGATTTTTTTTTCTATAAAATTGAACTTTGTCATAGTGCAGTTTTTGTCAAGTGAATTTGGAGTCAAGGACATATTTCAGCATTTCAAATGAAAGTCAATGTACAAGTGTGTCTTACGTTATGATACAAAGGACAAAGTATTACAAGAAATTATCATAGAATTGCAAGCAATACAGGAGTCCCCCAGGAACATTCTGAAGGGCCATGGGCCATTCAATTATGCCACTGAATGAATGAATGACATGAATGAATTTAAATCTTTTGAGTTCTTAGTTTGTCTCTATCATAGTAAAGTATTAAGTTTCCCTGCCTAGTAAGGAAATTATGTTTATACAACAGATAATTGGAAGATCAAATTTTCTCAAGATGAACATGTATAACTAATGTTTCAACTTTTCTGTATTTTAATTGGAAAAGGTCCAAGTTCTTTAAAAGTGATCTCAGGAAACAGTTTTTGGGAACAGAAGGAAAGACAGATGAACAGACCATCTGAGGATTAATCTTTAAACATCCTTGGTTGTAATCAGAATACAATATTTTTCAAAGCAAATTTCTTAAAATAAAAAGAAGACATAACTCTTTAAAACAAGAACTGGTTGAACAGGGTGATGCTCCTCGAATAGGTTTTGGACACAGGTAAGTATACCTCATGTAGTGTCAGAGCTATGTCACAGACAAAGTTCAAAGTGTAAAAATGAAAAAAGGGCAATAGCTATAACCAAAACTAAGCAAGGCAGAGTTATGGTTCTTTTGCACTGCACTTTTATTTAATGAGACCAATCTTCCTACAAAGTTACATGTTGATACCTCTTATGGTTTCAGAGTTATGTCCCTGACAAAGTTCGAAGAAGTGTAAAATGAACAAAGGGCAATAACTACAAAATTAGGCAAGACAGAGTTATGGTTCTTTTGCACTGCACTTCTACCCAATGAGACCTATCTACCTACAAAGTTTCATGTTTATATCTCTTATAGTTTTAGAGTTATGTCCTAGACAAAGTTCAAAGCGTAAAAATGAACAAAGGGCAATAACTACAAAATTAGGCAAGACAGAGTTATGGTTCTTTTGCACTGCACTTCTACTCAATGAGATCTATATACCTACAAAATTTCATGTTGATATCTCTTACAGTTTTAGAGTTATAACCCATACAAAATTCAAAGTGTAAAAATGAACAAAGGGCAATAACTCCAAAATTAGGCAAGACAGAGTTATGTTTTTTTTTACACTGCACTTTTACTCAATGAGATCTATTCACCTTCAAAATTTCATGTTGATATCTCTTACAGTTTTAGAATTATAACCCATATAAAGTTCAAAGTGTAAAAATGAACAAAGGGCAATAACTCCAAAATTAGGCAAGACAGAGTTATGGGTTTTTTTTTGTACTGTGTTTCTACCCAATGAGATCTATCTACTTACAAAGTTTCATGTTGATACATCTTGTTGGTACAGAGTTAAGTCTTGGACAAGAAAAGCGGACAGACATGCCATTTAAATGGACTAAGGGCAATAACTCCAAAATTAGGCAAGACAGAGTTATGTTTTTTTTACACTGCACTTTTACTCAATGAGATCTATTCACCTTCAAAATTTCATGTTGATATCTCTTACAGTTTTAGAATTATAACCCATATAAAGTTCAAAGTGTAAAAATGAACAAAGGGCAATAACTCCAAAATTAGGCAAGACAGAGTTATGGGGTTTTTTTTGTACTGTGTTTCTACCCAATGAGATCTATCTACTTACAAAGTTTCATGTTGATACATCTTGTTGGTACAGAGTTAAGTCTTGGACAAGAAAAGCGGACAGACATGCCATTTAAATGGACTAAGGGGCCATTTCTACGTTTAATAGAGGGCCATGACCCCTTATTCTATTGTTACGGAATGAACTTTATTGTTCTCTTTTGTTCTGTTTACAGTTACATGGCCCCCTACTTCTCTTAAATAGCCCAGACGGATGGACGGACATGCTCAAAGTATGGTACTTAGGTGGCTATTCTTTTGTTCTCTCTATTGTTCTTTTAGCCACATAAGGGAAAAAGTAACTTTTCTAGCATAAGAGATTACTGAATGAATAGCATCAAAGGAAATTTACTGTTACCTATTGATCCCATAGCCACCTAAGTATCTACGGATAACTGGACGGACAAAGCTGCAACTATATGCTTACCCTTCGGGGAGCATAAAAATGTATCATGCTTAATACCTTGGGTTTTTTAAAAGAATTTTTTTTTGTTTTTTACTATATACATATAAGGAAAATCAATGACCCACTGGGCAGGGCCAATTTTTTTTTTAACAAACTAGACACTCACTAAAAGATGTTTCATGCCTAAAATCTAAGCTCCAGCTCTTTGGGATTTTTTCTTAAAGAAGATTATTAAAGTTTTTTCTTTTGGTTGCCATGGCAACCAGAGTTCTGCATGGAATTTATTTTTTTCAACAACTTTTAAAGCTGCCAACAAAAGGAACTATTCTGTGATGTAAAATTGGCTTACTGGTAATTTTTAGTAACAATGACCTTGACTTTTAACTCAGGGGTCAAAAAGCAATCCCAACCAAGGTTTCATGTAAGGTTGCTATATACTAAGTTTGATTCCAATAACTCATTCCAAACTCTAGTTATTGTCCAGAAACCATGAAGTGGACCAACGGACCAGGTGGCCGAAAAGCTGACTCCTATATATACACCCCTTAACTTCTAAAAACTTACAAATGATTTGTCCTATTGGTCTATGTGAAAGGCCGGTGATGGGAACTTTTCTAGTTCCTGTAGCGCTCTTTAAGTCTAGAGGTAGCAGAAAACTAAATCCTACGTGCCTGACACAAGCATCATTGGCATCATTAGGCCTATCATGTACATAGAAATCCAACTGGTATCCCTGTTACAAAACAAGTAAAGAATAAATCAACCATGAAATAAACAAAGATGAAAAAAAAATCTGAACAATATTGTACTTTCATTTGTTATTACTTTGAAAACATACAAAGTAGCAATTACTAAAGATCCATGATGTTTTAATTTTTTTTTTTAGTTTTTACTATATGTACATATGTTAAATTATATAAGTAAGGAGACAGAATACAAAAACAGATGTATTGGAACAGATATTTCATTAGTTATAGTTATGATAACTTTTACAAGTTATGATAACTGATTACACGAAATGTTTTTGGCGTCCGCGCCGAAGCGCGGCGCTCTTATGGAATGAGATCAGATTTTGTGAAAGGGCGACAGCAACTTCTCGAGCCTTTTAGTCGGTCATAATAAAAGCCGAAAATTCCGATCGGTATGAGGGTGCTTGATTATTAAATAAGAATGAAATGTCGCGATATGTTACAATGAATTTTCGCAATGCAAACATTTACAAATGAAATAACCTTTTCCGTCAATAAATCGCGCTCTTCGGGGTTTTTTATTTATCATTTTGTAGTACACAGTCGATTATCATGTCATGGTATGTTATTGTTGTACATGTATCCTAGAATGATCAGTTGATGACCTAAATATTCCAAAAACCTATTTATAGATATATCTTTTTATCACTCCTATCGGTAAATGCCGTTCTCTCCCGGTCTATTTTGACCAGGATTTACTAGTGACCGGCGAATAGTACCACCGTTTATTGTCCGGTCTCTCCCGGTTTTGGAGTAGATGTTTGATATCGTTACAATTAGAAAAAAACAACAATAGCATGTTTCATTTTATCTATATGAGATAAAAACAATAAATATGTACACGGATTTATATGTAATATAAATTCGTGATATGTACAATAATTGAGAAAAAGGTACATTTTTTATGGTATTAAAATGACATTATCAACTTTGAAACATTTTATTTAATTATTCAATTTGTTATCCGTGTTTAGTAAAGATGCCGAGGAATTATTCAAAGTTACAAATTAGATTTTATGAATTATTCAATTGATCGATAATTTAAAAAATGATAAAGAAAAATACAATGTACATGTACATGGTTTAAGAATAAACAATATTATATATTGAAAGATAAACCATAATTTACTGACTTTTTCCAGTTAAGCTTTTTGACTTATAATCGTCGGTCAATATGAACAATTGAATTCTTAAAATTTATTTTACAATTTTAATAAAAAAGAGTAGTAAAAACTCAGTATTAAAATAGCACATAAAACACAAAAAAGAATAAAAGAAAACAATATTCATAAAATTGTATTTTTTTTTAATTAAAATTAATAGATATTACAATTATTGTATAATAAACAATTATGCTCAACATGATCAACATGGTAATATAACCAGTGTCATATTTTTACTAACTTAAAGTGTGAACAGATACCTTAAGGGGTCTTCGCTAATAGCGATAACATGTACATAATAAGGGACAAATGTGTGGTACGTGTTGATCATGCGTTAACACATATGGATTATAAATGATTGCATACATGTATATCCGTTGCTATTAATAACCACGATCATAAAGAAATAACAATCGCCTCGGTCAATATTAATTTTTTCAGTACATATCACATCATATTCAACAGCTAAAAAGTCCATATTGTATAATATTCTAATCTCTAGCATGCTAATCAAAGTTCATAATGAACAATGTCTTTCGTCCGCTCATTCATAAGTGGTATACATTTCTGGTAGTTTATAAGAATATCTTGTCATCATATGTGTACTAGTTCATCTTCACTTGCTGCATTTCTTGCTTGGACGCCCTTTGATGCTTTGCATCAATGCTTTTCTTGTAACTATCTATTTCACATTTCTTACTGTACTCATAATAATTGGCCTGATAAACTAACTGTACACAAAAAATTTGGTTCCTTTCAATGAGTTTTCAAAACCAACTGTTCCCTGCTCATTGGTAATTATTTACTGGTATGGTGAAAAACGGTTTTATTTAATGAACAAGAAGCGCTGCAATGCGACGAAAACCAGGTTTTCAATGCATAAGTTTTGATGTGACAGCAATCAATAGGTCAAAGTGCACTGAAGTTATTGAGTAGTAGAAGCTGAAAATTCTATTGTAAGCAAATGACCTTACTTGCTTCCAGATATCTAAGTGGCAATCCAAAGCTGCCACTCAGCAAGTTTGGTGTCAAAAGGTCAAAGCAAACTCAAGTTATAACATGAAAACTTAATACATTAACCTTGATCACAGACACCTGGGTAGCAATCCCAAGCTGCCTTTTGATATAAGCTACCCATACATCAAGTTTGATGTCAATAGGCCAAAGCAAACTCAAGTTATTGAGCAGAAACTGAATTTCTATTTTTAGAAAAGTGACTTTGACCTTGATCACAGGCATCTGGGTAGCAACCCCAAGCTGCCTCTTGATATAAGCTATCCATACACCAAGTTTGGTGTCAATAGGCCAAAGCAAACTCAAGTTATTGAGCAGACACTGAATTTCTATTTTTAGTAACAGTGACCTTGACCTTGATAACAGACACCTGGGTAGCAATCCCAAGCTGCCTCTTGATATAGGCTATCCATACACCAAGTTTGGTGTCAACAAGCCAAAGCAAACTCAAGTTATTGAGCAGAAACTGAATTTCTATTTTTAGTAACAGTGACATTGACCTTGATCACAGACACCTGGGTAGCAATCCCAAGCTGCCTCTTGATATAAGCTATCCATACACCAAGTTTGGTGTCAATAGGCCAAAGCAAACTCAAGTTATTGAGCAGAAACTGAATTTCTATTTTTAGTAACAATGACCGTGAACTTGATCACAGATATCTGGGTAGCAATCCCAAGCTGCCTCTTGATATAAGCTATCCATACACCAAGTTTGGTGTCAATAGGCCAAAGCAAACTCAAGTTATTGAGCGGAAACTGAATTTCTATTTTTAGAAACAGTGACCTTGACCTTGATCACAGACACCTGGGCAGCAATCCCAAAGCTGCCCTCTTGATATAGGCTATCCATACACCAAGTTTGGTGTCAATAGGCAAAAGCAAACTATAGTTATTGAGCGGAAACCAAAAGTTGACGCCCACCGCCTGCCTGCCCACCCGCCCGCCCGCCAGCGCCAACTTCGGCATTACAATAACCCGGGGTTTTCGTTCTAAAACATGGTTAACAACTAGAACTATTGGTAAATGAAATTCATACCCCCACCAATGTCCTTGACAAAAGACGACTTGGAAAGGTGGTTAAGGGAATTACTTTAGTGGCACAAATACATATACATAAAAAGAAATTATCTCTGGTGAAAAAAAGAGAAATTGTACAGGTAATAGTATAAATATATATTGTCAAATCATGTTCGAAACAGTTACAAACAAGATATGTTTGTAAAACATGTATGCCCCCTATCGGCAGCCAATTAGTCATGTGATCAGGTTATTATGCAGGACTTCTGACCCAGTGAACAAACAATTGATAATAAGGGTTATCTAGTATCTACTGGTCATGACTAGTCACAGGGCAATAATTATTGTGACCCCATAGGTTGTGTGCAGCAATTTAAGTTATTACAAATCTTACCAAATAATATATGCATAAATTTTATGAATCATGTAGGCCTCATTAATGACAGCCAAGTTGTTATATTACATAAGACCTTCAAATGTGTATACCAAAAGCATTTTTAGTTTAATATAAAAATATCAACCAAGGCAACTTGAGTTGTTGATGGTCAGAAACCATCTTTAAGTACAAGGTCATTATGACACTGACCCCTTGACCCGAAAATCAATAGGGGTCATCTCCTGGTTATGACCAATCATCATACCAAGTTTGAAGTTCCTAGGCCTAAGCGTTCTTTACTTATTGATCGGAAACCATTTTTACCTACAAGGTCAATGTGACCTTGACCTTTGACCCCTTGACCCCAAAATCAATAGGGGTCATCTGCTGGTCATGACCAATCATCATACCAAGTTTGACGTTCCTAGGCCTAAGCGTTTTTTAACTAGAGGATGCTTTTGTAAAAAAGCGCATGTCTCCCCCACTGCACTGTGACCTTGACCTTTGACCTACTGACCCCAAAAACAATAGGGATCATCTGCTCTATAAGACCAATCATCCTATGAAGTTTGAGGGCTGTAGTCAAAAGGAACTCTAGTTATCATCCGGAAACGAGAAAATTGACCAACGGTCACTGTGACCTTGACCTTTGACCTACTGACCCAAAAACAATAGGGATCATCTGCTCTATAAGACCAATCATCCTATGAAGTTTGAGGCTGTAGGTCAAAAGGAACTCTAGTTATCATCCGGAAACGAGAAATTGACCAACGGTCACTGTGACCTTGACCTTTGAACTACTGACCCCAAAAACAATAGGGATCATCTGCTCAATAAGACCAATCATCCTATGAAGTTTGAGGTCTGTAGGTCTAAAGGAACTCTAGTTATCATCCGGAAACGAGAAATTGACCAACGGTCAGTGTGACCTTGACCTTTGACCTACTGACCCCAAAAACAATAGGGATCATCAGCTCTATAAGACCAATCATCCTATGAAGTTTGAGGGCTGTAGGTCAAAAGGAACTCTAGTTATCATCCGGAAACGAGAAATTGACCAACGGTCACTTTGACCTTGACCTTTGACCTACTGACCCCAAAAACAATAGGGATCATCTGCTCTATAAGACCAATCATCCTATGAAGTTTTGAGGGCTGTAGGTCAAAAGGAACTCTAGTTATCATCCGGAAACGAGAAATTGACCAACGGTCACTGTGACCTTGACCTTTGAACTACTGACCCCAAAAACAATAGGGATCATCAGCTCTATAAGACCAATCATCCTATGAAGTTTGAGGGTTGTAGGTCAAAAGGAACTCTAGTTATCATCCGGAAACGAGAAATTGACCAACGGTCACTGTGACCTTGACCTTTGAACTACTGACCCCAAAAACAATAGGGATCATCAGCTCT